TTACCAACATGGCTCAGTCTTTCTAAAGTCTTAGAGGATTTGATCTTCGCTGTATTTGACTTTCTCCAGGCGTTTTAACTTTACCAAGGTTTTGCCAGAGTTTCGCCATTTTGCCATAGTTTCGCCGTTTCGCTGGAGTTTTGCCAGTTTTGACTTTTGCCGGATTTAGTTTCGACTTTTGTCATTTGCCAAAAATAGGTTTGCCTAACAACAGTACTCCGGACATAAGCTCAATTAGCTATTCAATCTTTCAAAAGGTGAAATAAAGGCTAATTATTGCGATTCAACTAAGAAAAGTTATGCATTCATTATTAGTAAATTAAACCTTTAATTAGTAGATTAATTGTAATTGGTTGTATACTTTTAAATTATAATAATAATGCGATTATATTTTCAACTCAAATACGCGTATTTATATTACTTTTCATGTGTCCACGTATCAAATAAAGATAATTCATATACATTTGAAGAATTAAAACAGAAAACAGATTTAAATGTCGATATTGTACAGTACAAGCCAAAATACTCAATTTAGTTATTGGTAATGAAATTGGTATTTAAAACTATTTTCAACTTAAAATTTTAAATAATTAAACTTTTATATGATACGAGAAAAATCGTATCAATTTAAATTTAACAAATATAATTCAATCCGAACAGAAAGAAAAGTAATTTCAAACAAAATCATCGATGAATGGCGAAAGTTTATGATACAGGTTTGTAAATTTAAATTGATTAATAAGTGCGTATTTTTTACATTGTACTTATAGACGGAATTCTGTATATATACATATAGAATATTTTTTTCGTATTTTCAAAACTAGCAGAACTATGCATTATGTTGATTTGGTTAACTTAATGATTTCTCAAGTTGTTGCTCGTTGTCACTTCAAACCTACGGTAACTGGCATTAAAAAATTGATATTTTGATGGAAAAGGAATACGTTGTACGTCAAGAAGGAAAAAAAGACATATATTCTTATCTTCCATGAAGAAACGTGTTTTCTTATATTGCATGTTGATACGTAATGAATCTTGAATTAACGAACAGTCTATAGATTCAAAATCATTTAAGTTCAAATCCTAAATGACTTAGGTAGTAACGAAATTTCATAAAATAAAAGAATCGTATGAAACATATTTTAAGTTAAAGCAATTATTATCATTATGTATTCTAATTATTCTAAAGTCAAGATATCAACCCAACAAGAACATACATTTTACAGTTATCAGTTGCAGTAAGTATCGTGAAAGGGTAAAAAGCTTTTGCATTGTCTATACTGTAAAACGTTCCGTATGTAACGTACGTACGTACGTACGTACAAATTTTATGTTACTGAATATCTACGAATGTAACAGATACATATGTACCAGGTACGTACGCAAATTTATGTACGTACGTACGTACGTACTTAATCAAAACAGTAAACGTAATAAACATGTCGGAATGGTTTAAAGTTGCCGTCGAAAAAAGATATATTAAATTTTTCGAGTATATATCTTTTGAGAATTGGCAAATTATTGGGAGAGGAGGATTTGGCAGAGTTTTTAGTGCTTATTCTAGAGATACTGATCAAAATGTAGCTTTAAAAGGTTTCTACGACATAAGTGATGACGGATTTGCTACATTTGTCAAACAAGTATAATTCAATCTATTTCTTGTCTATTATTTCCTTATAATTATTCTACATGTAATACATTTCCTATACCACTGCGTCAGATTAAAATCCTCACTAGACTCGGTTATCATGATAATATTATACGGTTCTTTGGAATTACTCAAGGTATGCAATTTATGTAATAATGTAATAAGTACGATTTGTGTCTAATCGATTTAACTTGAATTTTAATGTGAATAAGACCCGGAAATCAAAACATATCATATGGTTCTTCAGCTAGCTAATAATGGTGATCTTCGCTCCTATTTACATGATCATTTCTCAGAATTAGATTGGACAACTAATATTCGAATGGCGAAGGATATTTCTAGGGGAATTAGTTATTTGCATAATGCAAATATTGTTCATCGAGTTCTTGTAAGAGACTTTGCCCATATCTGTCTAGTGATAAGCAAGCTGGGACATAGCCCCTACAATAGGGATTCTGGATTTCCTATGGTAGGGCTTTTGTGAGTCTGAAGATGTTCAATCAGCTCCAAAAATTTCCATCGTGCCTATCACTATCATTTTGTTTTAGTGTATATTGAGCTTAATAATTTAGTTACCGTATATTGATAGCACGACCGGAATATATTAGTGCATGATGGTAGATTAATGATTACGGATTTCGCTTATCTAAATCATTAGATGATTACGAAAGATCTATTGGTGGAGGATCAGTTTCTTTTTCCGATCCAGAATATATCCAAAATCCATTTTCATATAAACGAGATAAACCCTCTGATATATATAGTCTCGGTGTGCTTCTCTGGGAGTTATCGAGTGGCGTACCTCCTTTTAAAAATATATCTAATCCAGTAACATTAAGTTTAAATGTAATTAAGGACAGAAGCGAAACTCCTATTAACAAAACTCCGATTGATTTTATGAACATTTATTGCGATGCTTGGAATGGCGATCCAAATTTACGTCCTAGCATAGCTGAAATCCTTCACAAATTAAATAATATCAAAATGGAACCTGTTTATTATAATAATCAAAATACCAATATGGATATTTTAAGTCATAATAGGATAGATTCTACATCAACTGAGTTGAATTGGATAAGCAATAGTGATGTTTCCATTCAAGACTCAAATTCAAAAGGTTGGCTAGCTTTCTATATGAATCTTAAAAAATATGATTATTTTTATTGATAACAGCTTATTTACAACTTATAGAGCAGCGATTCAATGAATTGCAAGTCGTTGATCAAAACTATGAAAATCAGTACAAGAGTATTTTAATCTTATCAATCGCATAAATTTTACTTTTAATTGCATTTTATAGAATCTAATATATTAAATAATTCTATGATCAAATGCGGAACAGAAATAACGACACGAATGACAATTGACATTAAAAATTGGTTCCAAATTGCAGTTGAAAATTATAATTTAAAAGAAATCCCTTATGATGACTTTGGAATATTAAAATATGTAAATCGTGGTGCATTTGGAAATGTTTACTGTACTTCTTGTAACTCAATACCGAGTGAAAAGGTTGCTGTGAAGGAAATATATATTACAGAAGATGATGATGAAAAAAGAATTAAAATGTTTCTTAACGAGGTTTGTGTTGTTAAAGTTATTGAAGATATTATATTAATATATCCGTATTAATTTCAATTTTTTTTAAAACTATACATTAACACAATTCTCAACACTCTATAATGTTTTATTAGTTAAAATTACATAGTCAAGTTTCGCATCCACGAATTATCCAATTTTATGGAATAAGTAATGGTTAGTGATTTTAAATGCTTTTTTCATGCAAATGTATACTTATATTAATATTTATCATAATAAAGTTCATAATCGTGAAGCCTACTACCTTTTGATGGAATATGCAGAGGGTGGAACTTTACGGGAATATCTAAAAACCGCTATACTTTCCTGGGAAAAAAAAGTTGAATTAGCACTACAAATAGTTGAAGGAATGTCTTATTTACACAATAAGATGATTACTCATCGCGATTTGGTATATAGTTTTAAAATAATTTATTTAAAAAAGTTATTTTAGGCCAATAATTGATATAAATTTTTCTTAGCATTCGAAGAACGTCCTTATTCACCATGGAAATATAAAAATTGCTGATTTTGGCTTATCAAAAGATCTCAATAGTACAACATCAACTAGTATTAAAATTTTTGGGATGGCACCCTATATTGATCCCCAAAAACTTCTCAACCCAAAATATGTTCTGGATAAAAAATCGGATGTTTACAGTGTTTGTGTCCTTCTTTGGGAACTTTCAAGCTGCAGAATCCCCTTTGACGGAATTGAATCATTTGCACTTTTTCTTCAAATTTTCAATAATAACGGTTTGCGAGAAAAACCTATAAACGGAACTCCTTTACAATATGTTGAATTATATTCTAAATGCTGGCATGAAGATCCTTCTAAACGGCCTATAATGGAACAAATTTTTAATAGCTTGGAATCTCTGAAATACGATCCAGTTTATTTTGAATCTATTGAAAATCTGTATTCATGAAACTTAATCAGCTATTATTTTTGGTGTCACCTATAATAGATTTAAAGTTTTCTTTGTTTTCTGATTACAAATTTTATGCTGTTTAATATTTTACCTGAAATGGGGTATTTGTTTTGCTTTCTAAAAAGTATAGTAATTTCTCTATAGATAACATTACTAGCTTATATTCAAATATGTTGTTTGATGTTATTTTAATTTTCTTTATTATAATTTCTAATTTATTATAATATAAGTATTCTTCAGGAATTGGTGTTTTTTTAGAACAAGAAATATATATATGGTAAAAATGTAAAATAAATCACTATTTATATTTTTAATCGCATTACTCACTGGTAAAAAAAAAATATATTTTAACTAAATATTAACCAGTAATATATAGTACAAATATTAACTTATTTCTATATATTTACTAGGTAGTATATGCAGTTTAATATATTTTTAGCCAATATGTTTAAATACATATATTACCTAGTAAATATATAGCAAATAAGGTAATATTTGTACTATATATTACTGATTAATATTTAGTTAAAATATAATTTAATATAATTTTTTTACCAGTGACTGTGATTATATCTTAATGATTAATTTTTTTAATAAAAAAGTTAGAATATCAATATTAAACTATAAAATTGACATATATATGTCGTTATTGATTTCTATAAATTCGAAATTATGTCGTTTTTAAATTATAATATGCGTTATAGACTAAATGCTAGATGTCAGGAATATAGTGTAATCTGCATATGAATCCATGATTTTTGATTGGCATTCGCAATATTATACTTCTATGCTTTTCATGTCTAGCAAAAAAATTATAATAATTAATAATTCCTAAAAGCTTTATAAATAGAAAGTACAGAATGTCTAGCTTCAATAATTTTGCAAAATTTCATTCTCTTTACTTTGTTTATAATATTAGCATCATAGAACAACTTCTGTGATTATGTCCTCAGTTGATGGTGACAAAAGCATTAAATTAAGGAATGATAAAATAATCTTTATTTACCTTTTTTGACCGATCTGTTGAGTTTGAGAATTATGCAATGCTTTAAAAAACAATTACATGTGTGTAATGAATGACCTGCCATAAAAAGTACGACCCAGTAGGGTGTGCAACGGCCTATTAAAATTATATAGTCAGGGTTACTAATGATCATCACTAATTGCGGATTTTCTAATGG